GATATTTACTTGTTACTTTCTCAGACATTCATCTCCCCTTCCCCCAAACACACACACCATATAAGCACCTAGAGTCTAAACGCTGACATGCATGGCCAAGGGATGGGCTGTCAGAACATGTCTTTTTGCCTGTATGAGGAAGAAATCACAGTATACTCACACAACTTATGTTTCTAATCTCTCCTTGCCTCTACACTCCCCCCAAAACAATATTTATTTTTTTCTAGAATATTTGTGTGTTTATAATTATCTTTATAACAAATATCTTTACATAGTTAATTATATTTTTTGCAGATAGTTGATAAGACATCAGAGGACACATTATTAAAAACTATTGCTCTCCTCCCCACTCAATTCAGTAAAATCCTTCAGTGATGTAAACATTTCCTTTTATCAGAGGCTCTCAATCTATCCCAATTTTCTATAAGTCACTGTGCTCTAATGACATTTTGTTAGATGCAAAACTTGAAAATAACAGATGAAAATTCACTTTTGACTTTGTTACACCAAAAATGTCTGAGTGATAGATGGGCCCATTGCTGATATGGTGGTTCTCTGGTTCCTGTTATTAGTCATGGGTTATTTTGATCAGCTACAGAGTGATAGTGGGTGACTGGAATACAAAATACTTTCAGTTTTCTGAGCTTCAGTGAAATGTTATTGTAAGTAGCTGAGAGTTTAGAGATCCTACTTGAGTTTCCATCAATTTCCATCATTTCATGGTCTCACCACTGGGAAGGATTTTAAGGAGCCCTCTTTGCTAATTATGCCTCACCTCAATTTTGACTTTGAGAGAAGTCGAGACCAATTATTAAAAAGAGAAAAAATATCTTTTGAGTTGGGAACACTGGAAATAATAGAAGTATCCAGATCAGACAGAGCCCAAGAAAATTGGCTCATTGAATTGTTAATAGTATTGTCTGCTATGATGATTTAAAGCTACAATTTTCAGGCTAATTGGGTCAGTTATAAACACGTGGGAATCTGGATTGAATATTCTGGGATTATATTTTCTATATTTAATTTTATTCCTATATCTTAATTTTATTTGGTTACTCTCCCAGAGACATTTCAGAATATCGTGACCTGAAAATTTCAGGTAGGTTCTAACTTGAGGACAAAATGAACCAGACTTGGATTTGAAGAGACCATTAGTTACTTCTGTTCTCTTGGGAGAATAAATTGTTAGAAATGAGGGTGAATTTTATTAGTCAGAAAAAGTACAAATGATGCTTCCATGGAGCTGGGGATCTTGGGACCAGGGAAGAGTACGATGTAGTACACATAGGTAAGCATCTCTATAATGGTGAACTTTGGATGGTGTTCAGATTTTATCCCTAAAAAACTCAAATGATGATACTTTTGGTTGCTATTTCATTTATCATACAATTTCTCTGACCCATACTCATTATTTTAACGTTCTTCTCTAGCACTCTGAATAAAAATTTGGACTGCTACGTTTAACTTCATTTATTATTCATAGTCCTTGATTGCTTTTAACATTAGTATATAAACTTGGAGCTCTGGAATATTTTCTATAACATGTACTGGAATTTCCTGTTTATTATCTGAGTAATGTTTTCCAACAATTATGGCTTTATTCTTAAAGGGCATGTGATCCACAGTTCTTTGCAAAGACAAGGACTATGGTATGCTCATGAAAATTTTGTTTCTTGGACCCAAGACATCTCCCTCTCCTTCAAATTCATATTGATTGCCTACAACAGTTGTAATGAAACAGAGTTAGACAGTAAACTCAGGGCGATGGGGGGTGTATTTGTCTTAGAGATCAAACACTTAAAGCAGGATTTATGGAAGCAGAGGGCTGTGGGTCAATAGCTAGAAAAAAATAGATTGTAAACAAGTAAAGGACTGTCTGAGGTGTGAAGGAGAGGAGAAAGGAGACTGGAGGGGGTGGAGAGGGAGATAAGAATTAGAGGGAGGGAGGGAAGTCCGAGAAAGGATGATTCACTGCAAGGATCAACCCCAGAGACACTTCCTTTCCAGTCTTGTGGACAGGGATTATATTGTAAACATTTCTTCCATTCTCTCCCCTTCTCTCCTTCTGGATAAATTTTAGGACACGGAAATTTAGAAATATAAACACCAGAGAGAAGTTCAGATACAGGTCAGAGACCATTATAACAATTGACTTTTGGTGCTATCATAATTTAATGAGAAAAACCAAGTACATTAAAGCTCAGAGCACTGTAAGCTTTTTTGTCAATGTCAAGACACCTATGAAGATGCTTTTTTGACATAACTTTCAAATAAGACAAGTACTATTAATAAGAAATCAACTTTCTAGCAGTACTAAATTCTGTGTAGTAATTTTAAGTTCCTCAAAGTGTTTCCTGTTTATTACTTTATCTTTGGAGAAGTCTACAGAGGAGTAAAGTGACTATTAACCTCCTCTTACAGATTGAAAACTAATGTAGAATATCAAAGGGAAGGTGGGGGAGGGTGGGTGGGTGGGAATGATCAACCAAAAAAAAAAAAAAAATATATATATATATATATATACACATCTCCATCCCATGGACACAGACAATAAGGTAGTAAAGGCCTGGGGCAGGGGCAGAGCAGGCTACAAGGGGTCCATGGGAAAAAGGGGGACATGTGCAATACTTTTATCAATAAAGATTTTAAAAATTTAAAAAGAAATAAAATAGAAAAATAAAATTAAGGCCCAGCTGTTAACTAAGTAAGATCTCAGAGGTTAAAAAAAAAAAAGGCGGGCGGCGGGGCGGCGGGGGGTTGGGGGGGTGGTGGTGGTGGTAGAAGCTTCTCTAGCTAGGACAGCTATGTTGTTAGGATTAAGATTTAGGTACGCTGACTCCTAAATCATTGCTCTTTCTCTTATGCCACTAGCATCAATGTATTCTTTCTCAAACAAGCCTATCTGGTCAACAGAGTGCTTCATATTGCAGAAGTGGCAAAAAATTCAGTGTTGTCTGATTTTCTAGAGATTAGAAGCTCCAAGGCTAGTTTCAAGGAAATCTCTTCATATTTCAAAGGATACAAATCAGTTTAGCATGATCTACTGAGTTTCTTTGGGAGGGTTTCACTCTTGATAACAAAAAGCATAATTTAATATACAGAGTTCAGACGAAACTATGACTTCTGTGGGCCAGGAGTGAGTTATTAGAGCACCCACATCCACAGAGGTCTGTGGTTTCATTAAGGCCAATTGTATGCATGTTCCTCTTACTTTTTTTTTCCTCCTCAAATTGCTCAGCCTTGAGGTTTTTAAAAAGCCCGATTCAGTTTAATGGTGGCCCTTCTGATATCTGAGATTTAATGACTCTCTAATTAGGATGTTATCTTGAATTCCATGCACATATGGAAAACCATGACTTATGTATGGGAACTAGAGTTTAGTGGTAGTTCCTAGAAAGCACATCTAAAGCATGAAATAAAACTCAAGTGCAAAGCAATTTAATTTTTAAAAGGAATGTGCTATTGAGATAAAAGAAAACATAATGGTTCATTCATTTACTTTTATATGTACCAAAGTGTGAAGTTGTACTGTCAGCTGCAGGCATTGGTTTAAGTAATGCATCTTCCAGGCTATTTCACAATCATTCTTCCATTGTTCCATAAATAGATTATGTGACTACAAGCTGTTAAACTAAAAGTTACCACAATAATATAACAGGATAAAGCAGCTGGGTGATTTGAGAGGAATATATTTAGAAGACTAAATATGAATGCTGAGTTGCCAAAAAGATATCCTTTGAAAATTCACAGATATGAAGCCATTTCTGGTATACAAAAATGGACAAATATGTTGGCTAAAAGCCACATTTTTGTGAAGCATGAATCTGCTACAAGGCCCCTGAAAATGGGGACCAAAGCATACGTAAAAAATGTCCTGAAATGGTAGCCCTTAGAGAACTGAATGTGCTGAACATAGTCTCACCCTATGAAGATCTGGTCCAACTTGAAGTTGGGAATGGGATCGATATTATTATTGAATTTAATCTATTAAGTTCAAAAATTCAGGGGCCAAAAAATCTACCCAAAGCCTAGGTGCTCCAGTTAACCACATCATGGCTCATTTTCTATTTCATATTGGGAATGTGTCCAGTGACTCTGTTCTCTTCCAGAAGAAACAGAATGATAATTATTATTTTTCTCAGTAATAGATCTTGGTCTCAGATCTAAGAGATGTGTGTGTGTGCATGCATACAGGGTGGGGCAAAAATAGGTTTACAGTTGTTCCTATGGATAATAATATAATAGTTAATAAATAATAATGCAAGAACAAACTCTGTGTTTTGTGTACTAACAATGGTAAACCTACTTCTGCCCCACCCTATATGTATGTAAATAAATACACACATATAGAGGGGAAAACCTTTCTTTTCAAAACCATCTTCTAGGAGCACAATTTGCTATCCATCTGCTACCATCTTCACCATTATGACTCTTTTTCAAGAAACATCATATGGTTGTGCCTCTGATAACTGCGAGGGTCCAGTGTATCACCATACCTTAAGCATCTGGTGTTCTTCATTTTTATGCAACCTCTTAATTGACTACAGATTTGCTTCATTTAGGAACCCAATCTCTGGGTCCACATTAAGAGCATGACTGCCCCTTAACATATTGAAAACAGAACTGCTTCCCTTCTTTTCTCCCCACTGATCTTAAATTTTATGCCTCTTCATGTTCTAATATTTACCTCTCTTCTGAAGAGAAACACTTTCATTGTTCAAAATGGAAACCATTTCCCCCACTTGGTCCAATAGTGCAGAAATATAGAAATCTTGATATTACTTAGTTTTCCTATTTTCACCAATCCCAACAATACTAAATTCAATTTTTATGAATTATAGATTTTTCTTGTGTTTACTGTAGCTTTGCAAAATAATTGAATAGAGATCTGTATGGGTCTAAAAATATTATGCCTAAACAGCTTCAGTTTTATATCTACTGCAAAAAGCTAGAACCTAGTAATATTTAATGTCCTTCATTGTTATATCTTTAAATCTTACCACTGCAAGTGAATGTGAAAATCCTTAAATTGTTGGCCTCAGTGTTCCCATGTCAACTGGCATATGTCCAGGTTGGAGATCCTGCCAAAAGTCAAAGGAAAACATTCATGAGACAGAGCCTGATGAACGATTGTTTTAATCCTGCATGCCCAGCCCCGCCGGCAAGCATGGTTTATGAATACCTGCTGCTGCTTTAATGATAAGACCTCTTAAACACAGCTGAATGCATCCATGGATTTTTTTCCTGCCCTAACTAAGAGACTGATTATTGATCTCCACCTGAATGTCCTATTGAGAACAAGCCATTCATGAATACAAGCTGGATGAATAACGGTGCACTGCACGGGCACTTTTAATAAACTGCAATAGGGACATAGTCTCTGTGGATGAAAAGGAACAAACCCAATCCTAATGAAGCACTGCTTACATGATTTAACGGTCTGTGGACGTTTTATGGGCCAAGCATCGGACAGTCCGGGGCACCTGGGCTCTGACTGAATGTCACATCGTGTTAGTACAGGACCCCAAGGATACCCTATATGCCTTCTCAAGGGAAGCTTCCCAGTTCTCTCTATTGCTCGTGGGATGAAGCTTTGAGGCTGGAATGGACTGATCTTGCTACTAGAAGAGAGCAGTCTGAACCCAGAAGCAGCAGAGTAGACACACAAGGGACGTGAGCCAAATGAGGGACCCAAGACTTCAAAACCTGAAGATAGGAAGGTGAAACGTCGCTCAATGGTTATCCCCAGGAGCTCCTTGAAGGTGCCTGGGAAACAGTCAGAGAAGCCTAAGGTCAGGAATAGACAGCCCACGCAGCCTAACCAGACCTGCAACACTTAGCCTCCTCAGCATTATTCGGGCTCAGTCTGGGGTCCTGGGTCATTCACAGGTAGGAGGGTGCCAGGGACATCCATTTTCAACAGCATCTGAGTAACTCAGTAGCTTGGTCCAAGTAACAGATGTCTATTCACCTGTTAATTTATTTATTCATTTCGGATCTAAGGTGTTTTAAAGTTAGAAAATGTCAGACTTAGTAATTCTTATATGGGTTTTTGTTCTATATGAATGTGTGTGTTGGCTTCTTTGATGCTAAAGAGGAAATATGTTTTATATTCACCATTTGCTAAAATACTTATTCAAATAATACACTTGATATTTTTATATTTTAAAAAAAAAACACAAAACTAACCAATGAGGATAGTTCTTCAATGGCAAGAATACATGCAATTGTAAATATAAAAATAAGAAAATATTTACTAAAGACACTCCTTAAAACAAAAGCCACAGAGGAGTCTATGTACCATACACAGTGCCTACCTTTAGCATAGCGCAGTTATGTTTTTAAACATGTTTTCTGAACTATGCATTACCTTAACATTAAAAGGGAAAAGAGTCATTTAGGATAGAGTTCTTATTAAATTAGTATTATTAAAAGCTGAAAATATTTCGGCACATACTGAGGAAAACAATTCTCAAATGTGAGTGTCCAAAAGTATTTGGAGAGTTAGTAAAAATAAAATAGGTTCTTTTTACAGGTTCTTTTTACTTCCTAAAGATTCTAAATGAGTAGAACTGGGATGGGGTTCCCAGCTATATATATTCAAGGAGAGCAGAGCCTTCATTCTATTGTACCTAGCCCAAAGAGTCAAGTCAAGAACTAAATTAGTAGAGGTCACCTTCAGACTCAGTTAATGAGAAATCATTTTCTGTTTAGCCAGCCCCTGCTTGTGTTATCTTACAGGTGACATAAGTCAAACACTGACTTTAGCAGAGTACATGTTAGAGGAACAACAGCCGTGATATTTAAAGGGGTAACTTGCTTTTAAACAATCAAAAACTGCCATCATCAAAGCAGGTGAGTAAGACTTATTTGGTGGGACAGATATACTACCAAACCCAAACTTGTTCCAGTTGTATTGAGATGCTTTTTACACAAATAAAGCTACTAAACTTTGGAATTTGGCAGCACATATTCCATCACATAAAATTGTTTCTTTTTAAGATATTAATATTCTTCCAGTTTATTGGAAATAACAATACACTGGAAGCATCCAGTTAGAAGGTATCTTGCCATGTCCATTGACCTACTCTCCTTGTTTATGGGGGAGAAGATGAAGCCCAGAGAGCTTATGATACAATACTTACAGTGAGAGATCAAAAACTGAACAGAAGATTCCTGACTCATGCATTAACCCAGTCTCCGTTCCAACACACAAAAAAGTTTGTAAAGCTCTATTCTCAGCCCACAGTTTTACTCATTGACCGAGGGAGTTTTTCACACGAAATTTTCCTTTTTTGGCCGGGAGAGGGGTACGATGTGTCCTTTGGGGTTCGCTCCCAGATTTTCTCAGGGAGAAAACATATGCTCAAGTCCCCAGAGAACTGCGCTCCCACACTCACAGCTGTACGGCAGGCAAGAAAAAGCTGTCTAAAGCTTTAAAAAAATATTCAGCATTTGCAAAAGTACTCTGGGGTATCTTGGGGAAGTGTTCCAAGAGAATTGCTGTTATAAAAAGATCACTAGGTTCTCTTCTCCTGGATCCTACTCCACACTCAGACATTAATATTTTAGGTGCAGCAGTGATACTCACTTACTCATCCGAAGTTCAACATTCAGCAAGGACGCCTGGCAGCAAGGGGCTGTGTCCTTGCTCTCATGTGGGTTGCCGTCCACGGGGAACTAGGGCCTCCTGGAAAGCCTGCTGCATCCCTGCCTGTGTGCACCGAGGCCACTGGGCCCGGGGTCTACCACTTCCCCAAGAGAGGAGCTCATGCTTCCCTTGCTTGGCTCTCTTTCCAATTTGCAAACACAGCTCACAAATCTCTATTATCTTACGGTGAATCAGTTTATCCAAACAACTTTCATGAAACCTAAAAAAGCATTAGACTCTGTATGTCTTTCCTCATCCTAGCAATACTTACTTATCAAAATCCTACTTATCCAATAACAGCTAGATCAAATCCTCTCTTCCCAATCTCCCTCTAAGACTTTCTCCCAGCGACCTAAGTGTGTGCAGAGCAACCTATTTATTTCTCTTATAGCACCTGAAATGCAGGGATTCTAGACCCACAGGCCTTATAAATCATTGAGTTTAACTTTACCTTTTAGATAAGGAAAGAGTGGGCTAGAAAGTTGCACAGTAATTGTTAATGAATTATTACAAATCAAAGGGAAAGAACAGGAAAGTACATTTGTGTTTAAATTTTGCTCTATGCTATGTTCTTCATAAGATATTTTAAATACATTATTTAATGTAATTCACAGAAAAATTTTGCTCTGTGGATATATTGTTATTCCCATTTACAGATGCAGTAAGCAAGTCTCAGAAGGGATAAATAATTTAAATCAGGTCAAATAGCTACACAGGGTAATCGGTAGGAATAGAGTTCTAACCCAACTCTGTCTGAGGAGGCCAGACTACACCAAAGGCAACTCTTATCCCCTAGCCCCCTCTACTTCCACATGGAAAAGTGTTGAAATGTATTGCAAAAGGAGACTTGGGCAGCCCCAATGATAAACAGTAGGTCCCAGATAACTTGGTCAAGGGCTAATCCACTGCCTACTTCTGAGACCCATAATCCCTCCCCTCCTAGGGGCAGAAAGGATGGTGACAGGTCTGAGAGTGCCTGCTTTGAGGGAATGAGAACGATGAAGACTGACAGAACCTGCAAGAATCTGAGCTTCTGGCTGGTTTTCAATCAGAGGGGTTTTGGCAATCATGTTAAATCTTTAAGCTCCAGGGGTAACAAAGCAGTAGTTGTAAAATGTAAAAAGCTGCAGATTGCCACCTTGTGCACCCCACTACTGAAGAGAAGATAGGGCCTTCCATTCTTTATTTCCAAATACTATCCACCTCATGCACATATGAGACACTTCCAAGCTTTTCACACCAAAAGGTGCACAGGGGTTGGACTTGGTGGGTGAAGGCATCTGTTGTTCCTCTGCAGGTGGATTTCTCCCAAATATTCCTGTAACCATGTCAGTCCAAGTGCCTCCAAAATAATGACAAAACCACACTTTCTATTTGCAATTTTTCACTTTACAAAGTATATTTGCATGCACTGTTATTTAATGTCCACAAAAACTATATAAAGAGAGCAAAACAGCTATTATTAGTCTGATTTGGAATAGTCTGTCACATCTCAGAGGAAAGGTGAGAATGGTGAGTGTATGGGAAGAGATCAACTGAAGAACTTGTATGCATTTATACAGAACCCATGGACAGAGACAATAGGGTGGTGAAGGCCTGGGGGGGGGGGGCAGAGTGGGCTAGAAGAGGTCAATGGGGAAAAAATGGACCTAGTAATACTTTCAACAATAAAGATTTTTTAAAAGAAAAGAAATATGGAAAATGAAGCTAAACGAAGTATTCAAGATGTTGTGTAACAATATAAAAACAATATAAGTTGTACTTAATGAGGGCTTTCTATGGGTCCCACACCATTGCAAAGGTTAAATGTTTGTTCACTTAATCCTTATAACCACTTCATGAAGTAGATATTATCATCTTCATACAAATCTATAATAATAAAAGCATAATATGCTAGTTAGACAGGACAGCCAAACGACCTTCCGGACATCATTCCGAACATCCTTCCAGACAAAGCTGCCACCGTGGGGGCTGAGGCAGAGGCGGTTAGGGGTGATCAGGCAGGCAGGTGAGCAGTTATAAGTGATCAGGCAGGCAGGCAGAGTGGTTATGGGCGATCAGGAAGGCAGGCGAGTGGCTAGGGGCATCAGGCAAGTAGGCAGAGTGGTTAGGGGCGATGAGACAGGTAGGCGAGTGGTTAGGGGTGATCAGGCAGGCAGGTAAGTGGTTAGGGGCAATGAGGGAGGCAGGCAGAGAGGTTAGGGGTGATCAGACAGGCAGGCAGGCGAGTAGTTAGGAGCCAGCAGTCCCGGATTGCGAGAGGGTTATCCAACTGCTGGTTTAGGCCTGATCCACAAGGATCCCTGTGGGATCGGGCCTAAACCAGCAGTCAAACATCCCCTGAGTGGTCCTGGATTTCGAGAGAGTGCAGGCTGGGCTGAGGGACTACTCCCTCCTGCACGAATTTTGTGCACTGGGCCTCTAGTGTGG